TCCAAGGTACTTCTTAGAAGTTGTCAAATTTATTTCAAAACAGATTTTTGAAATATGCTTTCTATATCCTTTTAAATTCTGTAAAATCTGTGGTAATGTTTCCTATATCTTGATATTGTAATTTTAAAAATGTATAATTGATATTGTGTAATAGGAAGAAAAGGTCTAAAGGTCCAGGGGAAGTAGGAGGGGTAGGGGAAAAGAAAAAAGGCAAAAGAAAAAATATGGGGAAAGGAAAAAAGGCAAAAGAAAAAATATGAGAAAAGGAAAAAATGGAAACAAAGTCTTTGCAAATAGGGCAAGGTGGAGGAGGTGAAGCGAGGGCAGGGGAAGGGGTAAAAAATAAGAACCAAGATACTCATGTAATGGCACAAGATCCCCATGAAGAATGTAATTGTATTTTATACCTAAAATGTACCAATAAACTTAATGGGAAAAAAAAAACCCTTTGGGATTGGCTTGTGGAAAGAGTTTGGAAATGTTCAGAGTTGCTGACTGAAAAAGTATAGTTGGAATGTATTAGACTGTACTTGATGGGAGATACTCATCAGTGCTCAGAAGACCAGAAGACTGTAGAAATCCTGCCAGTAAAGACTAGGCTTGGGAGATTTCAGTTGGAAAGGACTGCACTGGCTTTTTGAACTCAAGTCAATGAGTGTTATACCTTAGCAGAAATTTTGTACGCATTTTTCTCATGTTCAGAGTTTTTGCCTGAGACTAAGATTAAAAGCAGCACATTAGTCTTGCAGAAGAAATTCCAAGGTAGTCTAATGTGGATGTGGTGGCATGGCTACTCTTGGGGGCTTTTAGCCAGATTTATGTTAAAAAATAAAGAGCAAAGAGCCCAGCAGAATGATTCAGAATGTTGTGAGATTGGCCAGAAAGGAAGCTCCAGTAAAGTTGTGGCCTGCAAAGATGCAACAAACAAAGGAGAAATTGGTCGCTGAAAAGACTAGTAAGAAAAAAATCAAGTATTTCAGAAGAAGACAATGGAAAACATGGCCTGAGAACATCACAAGAATCAGCAGGACCCCAGCCTTTGTAGCCTCAGTGTTGCAAAGGTAAAAGACTTTGCTTTGAGAAGAGAGCCCCAGAGCACCATGTTCCAGGTGGTGGTCACCTAAGGAAGTTGTTCCTTGGGATTTGGTTCATAAGCACTGGACCCTTACAGCCAAGGGATAAGGAACCCTAGCTACTGCTCCAGCTGGCATCAGACCTTGATATCATCCATGTGGTGCTGGTTTTAGGTGCAGGCATAATGCAAGAGTTGTGAGGTCAGGAAGGTTTCCACTCCAATTCCGGAAGAAGGCCTGGATGCCAGGCAGTGTGTCCTTGAGAGGGCAATGTGTGAAGCTGTGAGTACAAAGCCTAAGGTGGAGTGGAGACACCAGAAGTTAGGAGAAGCCAGGAGCGTGGATCTTCTGAGGAAAACTGCAAGGCGGGAGCAGAGCCAGCCCAAGAAAGAAGTCATGGAAGTTACAACCACTGGAAGTGCTATAGGGGCAGGGCCACCCAAGCCCTTTGGAGTTCACAACTTGCCACAAATCGCTGTGGATTCTGGAAGTGGAACTGTGGGATTTAATGTTTGTCCTGCTGGATTTTGGTCTTGCTTTGTTCCCATTCCTTGCTATCCCCTTGTTTGTAAGTTTTGGAATGGAAATGTCTATCTTGTGCCATTGAATGTTGAAAGTGTTTAACTTTCTTTTCATTTGTACAGGAGCTTGTAGCTAAGAGTCTGCCTTAAATGTCAGAGGAGACTTTGGACTTGGACTGTTCAGCAATGAGGAGACTGCTAGCACTTTGACAACTCTTAGAGATGGGCTTTTGCATAAAGGAATGCACATGAGTCTTTAGGGGACCAGGGGTGGGATGTTGTAGTTTGTGTCTAGATGTCTCTCCAAAGCCTCATGCAGTCATAGGTAGAGCTTTTTCAGAGATGACTAGATCTAGCTCAAATTGATTCATGGTGCAATGCTAGGATCAAGGGCAATAGGATAAGGGTATGAGTGCTACCCACCCTAAGTAGCCTGAAAGAGCTGTAAGTTTCCCCTAGCTTGCTTGCTTTTGCTGTCTTCTCCTTGCTGTGAACTGTTTTCTCCTCTGTGATGCTCCTCTGCCAAGGTACCCTGCCTTGGAGCCAACAGATTATGGACTGAAACCTCTACAAACTATGAGCTATATAAACCTTTCCCCCTTTAATTTTTGGTATCAAATATTTTGCCCCAGAACAAGAAAAGTAACTAAGACATTCATTTAGGATGAAAAACTAACTTGCTCTTAATTCAGGGTTGATTTTAAGAAAGTAGATATTGTGTGCTTAATTTGCTTCTTTGTAAGGTTATCATATATCTCTGAGCCCTTCAATGGCTTTCCCACATCCCCACTTCACTATAGTAGTCTGTTGCAAATGTGCCAGTTAAGTTGTTATTTTTTGTTTTGAAGGGAAGCATGTCATGAATCTCTAATCGCCCATCTTGCTGATATCACTTCCCTAGTAGAAGTACTAATTTAAATTATATTACAGTAAGCTAAGTATGCATAATTTAATTTCTAAGATCTCCACTTAAAAGAGAGAGAAGAGATAAAATGTAATAAATATTTTCTTAATCACAAAGAATTTAGTAAAAGGGGAGTAAAAGAAGAAAGAGTATAGAAGAGAAATAGAAAGAGAGATGGTAGGCTTAATTCAAAGTATATTGGTAATTACAAAAAATATAAATGGACTAAATTATTCAGTTAAAACACCACTGTTGTAAAACTTGTTAAATTTTTTAATCAAAAGACTCAACTATATACAGATGACAAAATTCACATGTTGAATATAAAGACTGAGAGATTGAAAGAATAAAAGGCCAAAAATAAAAAGACTCTAATAAGCTGCAAGCATACAGGACAGAATTACCATACAACCAGGAACAAAAAAAGTCAGTGTAGCTAAACTGACATCAGGAAAAGTAGACTTTATGATAGGAATATAAGGATAAAAAGAACAATTCAACTGAAAGATATAAGAATACTAAATTTTTATTCACATCAGAACATAGCTTCACAACGTATTAAAATATGAATTCAATGATTGCTGCATTATTGTCTTTGAGGAAACTGGTACAGACCCTTAATGGAACTATGATTATTATCTTCATCACAGGTTATTTACAATCTCTGCTGCCCCCCTGGCCAAAACAGATACGTGGCCAAAAGATGTGGGCATCCTTGACCTGGAGGTCTACTTCCCAGCCCAATACGTGGACCAAACTGACCTGGAGAAGTACAACAAGGTGGAAGCAGGGAAGTATACAGTGGGCTTGGGTCAGACCCAAATGGGCTTCTGCTCCGTCCAGGAGGACATCAACTCCCTGTGCCTGACGGTAGTGCAACGGCTGATGGAGCGCACAAAGCTCCCATGGGATTCCGTGGGCCGACTGGAAGTCGGCACTGAGACCATCATCGACAAGTCTAAGGCTGTCAAAACGGTGCTCATGGAACTGTTCCAGGAGTCAGGCAACACTGACATTGAGGGCATAGATACCACCAATGCGTGCTATGGTGGCACTGCTTCCCTCTTCAATGCTGCCAACTGGATGGAGTCCAGCTACTGGGATGGTACGTGCTGCCAGAGGCATTATGCAGGAAAGGAGCTTGGGTCAGAGGTTGAATCCTTGAAGTTTTGTTTCTCAGTTTACCAGCGTTTTGCCTGTCTGCTTCATGGGACTGGTAAAATAAATGAATAAAATCATCCATAGGATATAAAATACAGTAATTTGGCTGTCCATATACTCTATATTTACTAAATTCAAATCTAAGTGCACATATGTAATCCCAGCTACATAGGAGGTTGAAAAAGAAGGTAGCAAGTTGAATCCAACCTGGGCAACTCAGCGCGACCCTGTCTCAAAATAAAAATTAGAAAGGGCTGAGAAGGTAGCTCGGTGACAGAGTTCTCCTGGGTTATATCCTCAATACAGGGCAGGGTGGGAGAAACCTAGGACTAAAAACTATGGAAACCAGAGTAAACATTAATTATAAAATTAATCATAAAGTTTAATGTTGCTGGGGAGCTTAGAGATATCCTAATATAATATTCTTTTCTTTAAAAAAAGAGACCAAGAGAACTTTAACAGTTTATCTCTAAGTGCGGAGCAAGACAGTGAACCCTATAAGCCCATTCATTGTTTTCATTTTCGTTGTGTATATGGAGGTCCCAGGTGCTGTGAGGCAAATGAGAAATGTTCAGCCCCTGGGGCCAGAGAATCTGGGCTCAATTGCTTTCCATAGCTTTCACTGTTAGTGATCCCTTTAATGTGGGATGTTCTTGTCTCTGTGTCATCAAATCTGTCCTTACAGTGCTTCTCCTACTTGGCATTTCTATTATCTTTAGCAACCCCTACCATTATTACCACCAATTTGTTCAACCAAGTGTGTAGTTAGAGGGTAGAAATGAAGGGCAAGGGACATCTACCAGCCTTTAACCAGCAACTAGAGAGCTTGTTCTTGGGAACATGGTCAGCTTGAAGTGTGTCCCTTCAAGTGAGTAGATTCTGCTGAGTGACTGTGCATTCCCAAAGACAGAGCCATAAATGCATGTTTTGTGTCATCCTTGAGCAGGGGCCATGCTAATCTTCTCTGTATTGTTCCAATTTTAGTATATGTGCTGCCGAAGCGAGCACTATAAATGCATGTTTCTTTAATGCAACATGCTTTCTCACGGTAGATGCCATGTGCTTAGTTCTTGGTATAAAATAAAAAACCAAGTTATAGAAATGTGGACTTTTAGGGTATAAAACAAAACAGAAAACACACATATAAGCTTGAGCCTGAGCACCTGAACTACGCACTTGAAGGTGAACTACACCCCAAGACCAAAAGAAGCCAGTGTGGCTGAGATCTCTGCTTCTGACCTTGCTGACGTCCACCAGGGCCCTCAGGTGCAGGGACTCACCAGGGAGTTCTGAACCATCCCAGAGAAGACAGCATGGTGTGAGGGAAGGAAAGAGTGGGACTGGCTGGAAGTTGCCATGTTTTATTGTCTTTTGAAAACTGAAAGCTGTTGAAGCTTATAGGTGGGAATAAAAACATAGACACACTAATGGTTGTAAAGTGAAGAAGAAGCCTCCTCCACTCCACCACTTCCCAGTATTAGCACTAACATTTTCTACATATTCTTTCAAAAATTTTCTGTATGCCTGCAAGCATACACATATCTATTTAGTTTTAAATATTGTACATACTATTCTTCATCTCTGATCTCTTAGACCTCATTCTATATCACCATATATAATGTTTACATCATTTTTTTTTTGGTACCAGGAATCAAACTCACAACCTTATGCTTGCGAGGCAGGTGCAGTGCCACTGAGCTAAATCCCCAGCCCTACATTATTCTTTTTTGAAACCAACATATTTTATTGATGGCTATGTCAAACTTCATTTAATTAGTTCCATATTGGTGGATATTTAGATTGTCATATTTTTCCAGTTATAAAATACATTTTAAGGAACATTTTACAATAGCTTTGCATGCTTATGGCAGTATGTTGTAAATATAAAATCCTAGGAATGAAATTGTAGGATATATTGATTTAAATATGTAATAATATGTGCCAAATTGCTCTCCAAAATGTTGTACTAAATTGTATTCCTAAAATAGACATTATCAAGTCTTGTAATATTTGTCAATTTAATAAGTAAAATAATAGTGTTTTGGTTTGCCTTTCCTTCATTATATGAAAGCTTGAACTTTTTTATGATGCCTATTGGCCATTTTTCTATTACATAGCTGGCATTTCAGACTTTTAGAAATGAAGGGAAATAGTTTTTTGTTGGCTGTAAGTGCAGTAGTACTTCTCAGTTTTTCTTTTGACCTTGTTTCTCATAGGAGGTTTTGGTTTTTAGATAGTCAAATTTATTGATATTTTTGTAAATGACTGCTAAGTACTTTTCTATAGTATCTAATTTTTTTAAAAATGTGAGTGAAAATATATATACTTATATACATACATATACACACACAAAAGGATTATTTCCCCACAATTATACACTTATATATACAAACATGCACCACATGTATCAGTGGGGGTGGGGGGAAACAATAGTGTTTTGTTGTGGTTGTTATAATTCTTAAGACAAGTTCCTTGGACTTCAATGGACTTGGGTTGGAGTCCTGATTCTGACTTTTTATCCTATCATTTATTAGATATGTGGTTTTGAGCAAGTGACTTAAGTTCTTTGTGGCTCAGTTTCTTCATCTGAAAAGAAAGGTAACTATATCTGCTATATAGGCTTATCAGGAGGATCAAATTACATGAAAATTTGGCTCCCAAGACAGGGCTATGGGTGAATGCTGGGCTTTCTCACAGGCTGACAGAATACATAAATCTAGGTGGCAAACGAGTTTATTCTTCCAAGCTCAAGTTTTAAGGGCAGTACTTTGAACAGTAAGCACATAATCATCAAGACAATTTCTTATTAATAGTCCATAAGAGAGTTAGTTACTATTAATTATTGATAAACTTTTCCACAATGAAAGTGATACCAGGCAGTTCAAAGCACATGGCTTAGAGTCCAGCCAGAACTGGGTGCAAATCGCATATTCACTATGTATGTGATCTTCAACAAGTTATTTAATCTTTCAGGAGGCCAGTGGCTTCATCCACTCATGTAGATGTTTACTACCTAATTGCACTGCTTTAAGGATTGTCTGAGGACAAGTAACATCTGGCTCCTATTTTGAATGTTAATTTCCCTCCCTATTCCTTGGCCTTCCTTGATTTGAAAGATATTCAGGATCACGGAGTGCTGTAAGGTGATTGGCAAAAACAAGTGCCAATTAACAAGTTTTTATTGAATTCAGAAATTAAATTCTGAGTAAATGAACATCTTACAACTAGGATGTGATGGCACTTTACATTTCAAATGCATATGAGTTTTAAGTGCCACAGGCCTGGAATTATTTGTTTTGTTCACCACTCTACTTCCAGTACCTAAAATTGTGGCTGGCACCCAGTGAGCAGTCAGTGAACTCTGGATTTGGTGATGAGCACGATTTTTCATCTGTCTTTGCAGGTCGCTACGCGCTGGTGGTCTGTGGAGACATTGCAGTGTACCCCAATGGTAATGCGCGCCCCACGGGTGGCGCTGGAGCTGTGGCCATGCTGATTGGGCCTAACGCCCCTCTAGCCCTGGAGCAAGGTTTGTAGTCAACCATGATCAAGAGACTGTGCACAGCATAACCAAACACAGAGTTTGCCCAAGTAAGCATACCCAACAAACAAACAGACCAAGCCAGGCACAGTGGTGCATGCTTGTCGTCCCAGTACTTGGGAGGCTGAGGCAGTAGGATCACCATGAGTCCCAGGCCAGCCTGGACTACACAGTGAGTTCTAGGCCAGGAACACATACCAAGACCTTGTCTCAAACCAAAACAAAACATCATAGTGTACTCAGTCTGGGTTTGAGGATGCTATCAGTTGCCTCCCAAAGGGTGTTCTGTTGAGCAGAGGGTAAGTAGGAAACAAAGAAAGAGGGAGCCAGTGAAGATTCCTTACTGGAATAATGGTGCCTGCAATGAGTGATATTGATGTGAAGAGGAAATGAAGTGAAGTAAACTGGCAACTGATGCTGAAATAAACCTGATGTAAGGTGAGTCTTTCTCTCGAGAATTTTGGCTTCTTTTCCAGATTTTGCTAACCCACATGGGTGTGGAAAGGGAAATATAAGCCTCAATTGTGCAATGCTAACAGTCTACTCAGCTCCTTTCGAATAGGTGAGAGGTGAAGAGTAGGCTCTGGTTTGGCCATGGGAGACAGGCAAAAGCCAGGAGCTCTTTACGTGGCTCTCCCATCCCCTCTGCTGGAGGTGGGCTGCATTCTGGATTCCCTGACACCCTCTGTGTGCCTTTCCAGGACTTAGAGGAACCCACATGGAGAATGCCTATGACTTCTACAAACCAAATTTGGCCTCAGAGTACCCGTTGGTGGATGGCAAGCTCTCCATCCAGTGTTACTTCCGGGCCTTGGACAGATGCTACACATCATACCGCCGAAAAATCCAGAATCAGTGGAAGCAAGGTATAGGACTTGGAGGGCAAACAGTGGGGCTTTGTTTACATGGCCAAGAATCTGTACCTACAAGCTTAAGACATGGACTCTTTTCTCCTTCCCTGAAAACAATGTCAAGAAAATTGTTTCATATCCCCTTTTTGCACTCTTCCTGGGTTAATGCTAAAATTCATTTCAATTTCATTTAAATCCAAGTATAATTTTGCATATAATGTGAGCTACATAAATGAATAAACAATGCAGAGCCGAAGCCACCAGTGTGAAACCTGTAGGTGTCCCCAGCTGGGGGAATACTGTCGTGAGACAGAGTGGCCACATCCTAGTGAGGCTGGGATTTGTTTCTGTTTAAGTCAGGCACAGCTGGACTTTTGGTTTGTCTGATTGATATTGCAAAGTCTTATGTATGCTTTCTGAATACTGAAGTATGTAGTATTCTCTAGCTGGTGGTGTTAGAGGTTGATTTTATCTTCACCTTTAGTTTTTGAATTGTCTGGCTACAAAATAGGTGCCAATTTCATACTCAGAAAGAAGAAAAGAAATATTATTTTTCAAATACAGAGAAATGTCTTTTAAAAAATCTCTACCAGCTTAGCCATCTTGGTCTAGATGAGCATAGCAAAAGGTAGGTTTTAGCTATGAAAAAAGATATAAGCTGGAGAATCAGACTGTGGGAACTAGGGGGTGTCCCTTTCCAAGCACCATGGGTGGGCTGTGGCCTGCCAGAGCTCAGCCCAGTGGCTAAGGACTCAACTCAGGACTCTCTGCCTCTGCCCATCCACTGTAGAATTGCTATTGGCCAATTGCTCTCACCTCTTCTGAATTCCCAAGGCATTTGAATTTTGCTTCTTCCTTGCATACAGAGTTTGTATGGATGCTTCTTTGAATCACAGCACTAAATTATAAACTTTGCTAAGAGCAGAAGTTTCATTACCTTCCTTTTAAGAGTAAGAGGCAGCCTCAGGGTGCAGGCAGAGCCTAAATCCAAAGCTGATCTTTTTTAAATTGAGTGATCATGAACATCTGACTCAATGCAATACTTTAGAGTCTGTTTCCCCTCTGGAAAAGTGAGAAAATGATACAACACAAAGTTAATTTGGAGACTGTCTTAGTCACTTTCTTGTTACTGGGACACAATACCTGTAAAGTAAAGGAGGACCAGTTTATTTTTTTCTAACAGTTTGCAGAGGTTGCAGTACATAGTCTGCTGGCTCCTGGGCAGGGTGGCATGGCAGAGGGCACAGTAGAGGAAAAGGTGTCCACCTCACAGTGGTTGGTAAGCACAGAATGAAGGGCAGAGCTGGGGAAGAAGAGAGACCCCTCCAGGTCACGTCCCCAGCGACCCACCTCTGCTGATCCAGCTCCACCTCCTAACACATTTAGCTATAAACTCCCGTAATTCAGTCACCTCCCAAAAGCTCCACCTATGATCATGTGAGGCTTGGGGAGACATCTAGATATAAACCATAACAGAGACAGTATCTGTCATAGAAGTTGCCAATAGTAGATACAAAGATGTTTCTTTTCCTGTACATAAATGATATTCATTAAACACAGGAACAATGAATGAGCAACCCTTTCGTTTATTTGCTGGAGGTAGGAACTAGGTCTCTGAGAAGCCTAGGGTCCCTCAGCATACTTAAACCTCAGAGGGTAGGTCAGTGTGGCTTACCATCGTGGCACCTCCTCGCTTTCACACTTCCCTTTCCAGATGGCATCGACCGACCTTTCACCCTTGACGATATACAGTATATGATCTTTCACACACCCTTTTGCAAGATGGTCCAGAAATCTCTGGCTCGCCTGATGTTCAGTGATTTCCTGTCATCCAGCAGTGCCACACAGAACACCTCATATAAGGGACTGGAGGCCTTCAGGTAAGTCCTCTTTGTGGGAAGCCTTGAGGCTCCTGAGGGATAAATAAGGAAGCAACTTCCTAGAGTCTGAACTACTAGCACTCCTGTGAAACGTCCAGCTGGAAGGATGGCAGCCCTGATATGGTGGGATGAGATGGGCCCTGTCGGGGTGAGGTCTTCCATGTGTCCTCCCAAGGGAGCACGGTGGGCAGTTTGGCTGCCCCTCTGGACAAGCGACTGTAAAAAGCAACAGAAAATCATACTATAAGCTCTTGGTATGCTGAAATAAATGTACCCCGTGACCCCTGCCCCAGATCTCACAGACTACATGGACACAGACACACAGAAGCAAATACTCGCAGTACTTCGTGGCCACTTGGTGAGCATTGCTTCACATTCTCACCTGCCACTGTCTTAGGGTTTTTCTTTGGGAGCCTCAAGTTTTCCTATCTGTAAAATGAACATAATGCTGCTCACCTCTTGAGATATCAAACAGCAAGAAGGCGGTCTGTTGGTGCACTCCCCCAAGACACACAGAAAAGAAGAAAACAGAGCTCTCACTGAACAGTGGATCTGAACCAGAAAGTTCCTCAAAGAAGAAAGGCATAATAATCTCATATGAAAATGTGCATACTCATTAGTTTTTAAAAAGCAAGCAAGTAACCATTATCTTTACATAGTTTTTTAAATTTTTGAACACTTAGAACTGATGAAGCTATGGGGAAATGGGCAAAAGTGAATGTGTAAACTGATACCAATGTTTTGAGGAGTAATGGGAACATGAAGCAAAAGGCTTAAAGATAGTTGTATCTTTCAACTTATTACTTCACTTGTTTGAAACACCACTGAGCTGTTCATTGCAGTATTTTAACTAGTGAGGAACACAAGCAAGGGGACTGGCTAAAATAGGATATGTCTTGTTAGGAACCATTTTTGCAGCCTTTAAAAGTAATGTTATAGGAGCTTAAGGGTATAGTTTAGTGTACTTAACATGAACAATGCCCTAGGTTCAATCCTCAGCTCCAAAAAACAAAATAATAATAATAATTATTATTATTATTATTATTAAATAATGTCATGGATATGTAATATGTAACATATATTATGTGTATTAAATATGATTATTTCCTTCTTTGCAAAATTGGGAAAATGATACAACATAAGGCTGTTCTGGAGATGTTTCTTTCCCTTTTCTATATGTAGAGGATACTTAGGAAATGCATGTAAAATGCATGAACAAACCTTATGAGTATTTGCTAGATACACATATTCTGAGCTAAGAAAGCATGCTAAACCTGGTGTTGTGGTGCACACCTGTATCCCAGCACTTGGGAGGCTGAGGTAGGATTATGAGTTTGAGGGTAGTCAGGATTATGTGATGAGATCCCGCTTCAAACCAAAGGCTGGGGAAGACATGCTAGACACAATGCCTAGTGTGACTTTATTTCAGATTTTCTAATAGACTGTAGGAAAGTAGGGATGGGTTCTATAAGGAATATATAGCCTCACTGTTTTCTCTAATTGACAGGACTGTTAATGGCATGTTTTCCTTTGTGCATTTTGGTATTTTTAAATATTATAGGCCAAATAAATACATGAAAAACTGCTCACCATCACTGGCCATAAGAGAAGTGCAAATTAAAACTACACTGACATACCATCTTACCCCAGAAAGAGTTGTTATCATAAAAAATCTAATAATAATAAATGCTGGCAACTAAAAATATGAATTTCATTTGACCGAGCTGTGTTCCTTCTAGGTATCTTCCAAAAAGAGTTAAAAGCATTATACCCATGTTTATAGCAGTACAATTTATAATAGGTAGATCTTGGAAACAGTGTAAATGTCCATCAACAGATGAATGGATAAAGAAAATACAATAGAATACTACACTGCCATAAAGAAAGATAAACTTGAAGCTTTGTAGGTAAATGGTTGAGAACATAATGTTAAGTCAAATAAGTCAGAAACACAAGCTCAAATATTGCAAGGTTTCTCTTATATGAGAAATGCAAATAAAGAATAAAATAGAAGAGAGATAAATAGGTAATAGGGAGAAGTACAAATACTTTTCCAAACTACAAATTCCACTGATTTAAAAATATTTCAGTATATATGCTAGTTGGTTTTATTTATGCTACTAGTTCATCTTAGTTCGTTGAAAAGAAAGATTTGTGTTATTATTTGTTTGTTTCTTTTTCATAAGACTCTTTTTGGTTTATGTCTTATACTCTAAGTAAGTACTTTGAAGATAAAAGTTACACAGTGTAATAACTATTATTATTCTCATATTATTTGATTATGTAATTTTGATTTTTTTTATAAAATAAAGAATTTTACCAAAAACAAAAATATTGTAGGCAGGCATGGTGGCACATGCCTATAATCCCAGCATTTGAGAGGCTGAGGCAGGAGAATTGCTGAGTTCAAAGCCAGCCAGAACTACATAGTGAAACCCTGTCTCAAAAAACCAAAAGATGAAATAAATACTTAAAATACGTGCCCAAAAGCCTTGTCTCCAGAAGCTGCTCCTTTCCCCCTTGTTCCCTCCCTCCCCACCTGGCCACCTCTGGCTGCTTCACAGGAACCTAAAGCTGGAAGAAACATACACCAACAAGGATGTGGATAAAGCCCTTCTGAAAGCCTCCCTGGACATATTCAACAAGAAGACCAAGGCCTCCCTCTACCTCTCCACACACAACGGGAACATGTACACCTCATCCCTGTATGGCTGTCTGGCCTCGCTTCTGGCACAGTGAGTCCTGCGTCTGGCCCACCTCCTATGCCCCCAACCCACTGTTCTGAGAGGCCAACCAAGTTTGGTTCCTCTGGTGAGTCACACTTGTAAAAGAAAGAACGAGAGAAGGGAGAGAGGAAGGAGGAAGGGAAAGAAGAAGGAACGAACTCGTTTCAAAGTGTATGCACAGGCAGATTTACCATCTGTGTTGAGCAGTGGCCTCCAAAGCCAAGTACAGTAAGTCTGAGAGGTGCAAGATCACCTGGGTGCAGCCCAAAATAGTAGAACTTGTGTGCATTTTTGGTCTCATCTATTTAAAATCTCTATGTTTAAGAGAATGTGGTGGCTAAGAAAGTCTAGCTTAGTCGCGTGTCCTGGCACACATCTGTACTCCCAGGGCTTTGGAAAGCTCAGGCAGCAGGATTGCAAGTTCAAGCCTAGCCTGGGCAACTTAGTGACACCTGGTCTCAAAGTAAAAAGCATGAAAAAGGATTGAAGATGTAGTTCCATGGGAAAGCCCTGGGTTCCATCGCTAGTGTCACCAAAAAAGAAGGAAAGAAGGAGGGAGGAAGGGAAGGAGGAAGGAAGGAAGGAAGGGAGGGAGGGAAAAAGAAAAAAATCTAGCTTGAGTCCACATCCTAGGTTGAAGTCTATTTACTGTTTTTTGCCCTTCAAAAAACACTTAACCTGGGCTGGGTGCAGCGGCATGTTCCTACAGTCCCAGCTACTTGAGAGGCTGAGACGGGAGGCTATCCTAAGCCCCGGAGTTTCCTGGGCAACATTGAGGCACAGTTTCGAATAACAAAGCAAGCAAATGAACAAGCAAAAACAAACACCCTGATTGTGCCTCACTTTCCCCATCTCTAAAATATGTATAATAACAATACCTGCTTTCCACATATTTATGAGCATTGCGTGTCTAAAAATATGAAAACTGTAGTGTTCAGCAGGTGCTCAATTGTTAGCTGTTGTTTTTATTGGTTTTCTGTTTTGTGAGGTTTATAAACAAATACTGCATATAACGTACGAAAAAATACTCATGGGTGAACTGGATCAAATTATTACTAATGGGAGTGTAGATCAAAAGGCTGAATGATTGCCAGGCAGCCTGGGAGCCTGGGGCTGCACCTCCATGGGGACACTCAGTCATTGAACCCATCCTGACCTGCGGAGTGGAGAGGAGTTCCTTTTATACCCCAAATTCTGTTGTGCTCCTTATGCCTTACATATTCTGGACTTTGGCCACCTCCTTCGGGCAAGGTTTCCCACTCCTGGGCTTCCCCCCAGCGTCCACGAAAACCTTTTTGTGCAGAGATCTTGAGGCACACTGTTAGTTTCAGAAAGTAGACAGGGACAAGTGTGGGCTGACAGGTGGGTGCTTTATTTCCTGTGCAGAATATAATACCATTGTGGTTTTTTGTTTTGCTTTCTTTCCTTACAGTCACTCTGCTCAAGAATTGGCTGGCTCCAGGATCGGTGCCTTCTCCTATGGCTCTGGCTTAGCAGCAAGTTTGTTCTCATTTCGAGTGTCCCAGGATGCTTCTCCTGGTGAGTCTCATCTTTCTATCAGGCCCTCCTGATAAGATTCACTGATGCAAGAAGCCATCTCCTGCCTTGCCACTGCCAAGGTTGCAATGTTGTAAGGAAGAACAAAGAAAATCCCTGCAGGGATTTAAGCAGTGATTTGTCTAACATATATACTTAAAGCCCATCCATGGATACTGCTTACAAACTACTTTAAAGAGGAACAAAGATAGATATGGGGAAACCACTTAGATCTAGCCACAAATAGTCTAGGCAAGAGATAACAGTGGTTTATTTACACATGCTTAAAAAGAAGTTAATAGAGTTGAGATATCCAATAAGTGTTGATTGTTTTATGATTGCTGTGATCGAAGAGACATATCTAGGCTCTATATGGGATGCATCTTGACTAAATCAGTGCCCATCTGTGTGTTTGCTAACATTGATGATTGCCTATCATCACTTGATATTTTTTAAAATTAATTTTATTGGTACATTTTTGGTATACAAAACAATGAAATTCATCATTGGAAATTTGCACCTTTGTATACTCTATCTTGGTTCTTCTTTTTTCCCCCTTCCCCTGCTCTCCCTTCAACCCCTCCACTTGGTATTTGAAACAACATGCAGAGCACTCACCGCCTGGGATGCAATCTGCCACAGAAGCTGGGTCCCCGGTGGCTAGTGATAATGCAGTAAGGAAGGTTTAACAATCTGGCTTTTGCGTCCCAGGCTCCCCATTGGAGAAGCTGGTGTCTAGTGTATCAGACCTGCCAAAACGTCTGGCCTCCCGGAAGCGTATGTCTCCTGAAGAATTCACAGAAGTAATGAACCAAAGAGAGCAATTCTACCACAAGGGTAAGAAAATGGGCAGGAAGAGAAGAGAAGCACTTCCTTTCAGATTCCATGCCAGTACCTAGAAATCAGGGATTCATCAGAAATCTAGCATGTGGGTCAAGACCTTTATGAGGAAATGACTAAAAGAAGACCTGTTAGAAGGAGCAGGAGCTGGGTAAGGAAACAGAAAGCAGAGTTGGGAAGAGGTAGGAGTCAGCATAGACTTCCCAGTGGACAGGGAATATTGTCCCACGGAAGCTGGGAGTATTTGAAAACTCTGTGTAAATGTTGTAAGAACCCAGAGTTCAAAGCTTAAGATCTAAATCTAAATGAGTGGTGTCACTTACTAAAAATATTGAACTTTTCATCATTATGTCGTTTTTTTTTTTTTTTTTTGGTACCGGGGATTGAACTCAGGTCCTTGTGCTTGTGCAGCAGGTGGCAAAACCACTGAGCTAAATCCCCGGCCCCGATTATGTCATTTCTAAAATCATAATAACTTGGCAGACTTGCCGGAAAGATTAAGTGAATGAATATACTTAAATAAGTTATCAATGAAAATCAGTCTCCTCCCAATTGCCCCCTTTCTCTGCGAAACAAAATATAAGCCCAAAAGTAAAAAATGGAAAGGAAACAAAAGCCAAAGTGAGAACTGGAGAGACCACATGGTCTTCGAACCATGGCGACTCCATGGTTTGCAGAGTGGTTTGAAGAGGGGAAAGAATATATGGAATTGGGAATATTGCAGATGTCTTAGACTACTGATCTCTTCTGGAACAGATGTTAGAGCAAAGAAAAACAATAAGAATAAAAAATAAGACTTCTGAGATGAACATTAATGTTCAAAGCACTACGGTGCTGCAATAAATCAGAGCCAAAGATGTTAGGATGAAGTAGGAAGTGTATCAGTAAACAGAAAGTTCTGGGGTATACCTCAACCCAAGCACATTGCCAAAAGGATGTGTGGAAGATTTCAGCGGATGAAAGTAATGTTTACTGTAGGAAGAGGTTATACTTCTATCATAAAATGTCTAATAAGTCAGGCTTTAAGTGCCAGATCCAAGATGGCTGCTTCTCTGGTTCTCTGGTGGTCCAATGTTCACTGAAGGAGGCCTTGCAGCCCCGGGAGCACAGCCAGGCAAGCTTCACCACGAGTTTGTAGGAATTTCTATTCCTGTTTTCTCTTCTCCTAACCCATGTAATTTTTTGTTTTTTGGGTTTTTTTGATACTGGGGATCGAACTCGGAACCTTGGGCTTGCGAGGAAGCGGCCGGCGGAACCACCAGGCTAAATCCCCAACCCCATGTAGCTTTTTGTGCGTACTATCTTTTTTCCTCATTGCACAGTGAATTTCTCACCACCCGGTGACACAAATAACCTTTTCCCGGGTACTTGGTACCTCGAGCGAGTGGACGAGATGCATCGCCGGAAGTATGCCCGGCATCCCATCTAAAAGTGGTGAGTGAGAGCTTTCAGGGTAAACTCCTTGGGTGGCGCAAATCCCTGAGGTCTCTGTCTAGGGAACAGATGTGGTTCTGATACTATAACCAGGCCAGAGAGGGGCCATAGTTTCCAAAATGACTGGGAGACGGGGTTTATGCACTAGGACCAGTGAAAATCCCTGGGAAGGAAGGCAAAAGCTGGGAGAAGATCGTGTCTTGAAATCTTGAATGTGGAAAAAAGTAAAGACTTGTTTATCTGGTCTGCTCAAGATGGGAAGCTCTCCTAGAGGCCTGAGAGAGGAGGAAGCGGGCAGTGGAGCTGAACCTGCAGAACTCATTGCTCCAAAGGGACAGTGACAAAGATCCACAGCTTCTGAAAAGGTTCCTACCTGGGTGCTAGGAACAGAGTCTTGAGGAAGCAGGGTGGTGCCAGGCTCTGTTAGAGCCAGAAGCCTTGGCTAGAGGGTGGTTTGGGTTAGAGGGCCATGTGACAATTGTTACGTCACACGATTCTGTCTGAGGAGAAGCAGTGAGGCTTGGGAGTATGGTGGGGCTGAGTGTAGGAAGAGATGAGAGCTTAATGGAAGAGGACTGGGGCGAGAGGATAAATAGAAGAATTCTTTAAGGTGTTTCTTTAAGGAAATTCCAGTTTTAAGAATAGCAGTCTTGTAGTTCCTGAACTCAAATATCTGTTTCAGTGTATCTATCAAATAGATAAGCAGAAGAGTGAGAAGTCATTTTGTTTGTAACACAAAATTGTCAATGTAATCTCCACTCGAGTTTTTAACTTTTAGCTCCTTTGGAAAGCAAAGGGGGAAGACTAAAAAGGTCTTCCAAGGGCAAGGCCTGGAGCAGGGGAGAAAAGGAAGAGACCAAAGAGAAGGAGAGACTCAAACAAGCCTCACAGGAGGAGGCAGGAAAAGCTAGGATGGGTGCCCAGATTTTCCCTGTAGCCAACTAAATGTTCTCAGTTGCTCAAATCCTCTGCTGGGCTGCTGAAGTGCTGTTGCTGAGCTGTTAGGGACAAGGCAATGCGGACATGAAGCTACCAAGCCCAGGCTGCAGGATGACATGAGGACAAGCTCTATAAATAGTCTTACAAGACTTTGGTACTGCCAAAGGAGTTGTTGGAAATATGATTCTTAGGGCTAGCTTGTTGGCAAACAAAAGGATAAATGTATCCAACTAAGTTCAGTCCTGAGAAAGAGAGAAAGACAGACAGACAGACAGGCAGACAGAGAGAAGAGGGGCGTTTAAAGGAGACTCTCCACAGACAATAGGAAACGGGGAGTTAGATGGTTTGCAAATGGGAAGGGGACCAAGAGATGGAAGGAGGTGGGGAGAGGATGTAAAAAGAATGAAGATGTGTTACACACATTGTCTTAGTTACTTGTTCTTGTTGCTGAGACAAAATACCCAACACCTAAAGTTAAAGGAAGAAAGGTTTATTTAGCTCATAATTTGTCGAAGTTTCAGTTCACAGTTGGCTGGTTGCAAGACAGGGTAGCATGGCAGAGAGCATTGCAGAGGAGAAACAGTTCATGGCAGGCAGAAGGCAGAAGTCAGGAAGACAGCAAGCTACAACCACCAAGCAACAAGTGATTCACTAGCCCTCTTTTTGTCCCTTATATTTTTATTCAGCCTACTCACTCTTTAGGGTGGGTAGCACTCACAACCCAGGGTGGGACACCCTTAATCCTACCCAGAACTAATCAGTAATCATACACCCTTGATCCCAGTACCACACACTCTAGATCTAGCCACCTCTGAAAAAGCCCTGCCTATGACTGCACGAGGCTTTGGGGTGACATCTAGACAAAAGCCATAACATACTTGTACTAATTCCCCATGATAAATATAATCATTATGTACTACAAACATGTACTAATAAAAATAAAAAAGAAAAAAGTTTAAAGAGGGATATACCATTAAAAAATAAATAAATTCAAAGGAGAATCTCCAAGTCAAGCCCCTTCCCTGACAAAAGCATTGCACCTACAAAGAAAACTAGAGCTCTTGTACTTTTCTCTGGCTAGTAGTCCCATGAGCAATGAGTCTATTGCAGTGAGATTTTAGCTGGAACAAAGGTTTGATATCTATGCAGTGCTCTGCGGAGCTCCATAGGTCTCAGCACCACGCCAGCCCAGCCTACTCTCCCATCACAGGCCCAGCAGAGTAGATGATGTGGACCCTGCCCACCTCCAGCCTTGGTTCCTGGAGTGTGGGATGCCAGGGCTCTCTGGCATTCAGGCTTGGAGCTGAGAGGGCAGCAGGAGTACCCCAGACCTCAGGATGCACAGCCACCCCTAGGGCAAGGAGCAGGTGCAAGTAAGCAAGATGAGACTCATGCTCTAATCTTTTGCTTATTTCTTTATGTTCTACAGGTCCATAGAACAGTTCCTGTGGAAGACTACCAGCAGAGACTCTGCCCATGAATCATGTTTAAAATTCTGCCCTTAGCTGGTAAATGAATTTGGCTCTACCAGTAGCCCCCATAAACACTGGCCCTGAAGACAAGAATTGAAGCTCCCCTGAAGAAAGAAAACAGCCAAAGCTCTTTCAAAGAAAAACCACTGAAACTCCTCAGAAGAAAAGCAATCACACAGAATCTCCTCCAAGAAATATCAGCTGAAATCCTTCCCTCCAATTCTCCTTTTTATACTGCTCTGACAACAATCCCCCTTCAGGGGGGTCTTCCAAGCCCAGAACAATACTGACTCAATTCAGCTGGCCATTCCCACTCAGGTTGACAATTAATCAATTAACCACTACAATCCACCCCTCTCCAACTTGATAACAAGACATATTTTCTTAAATTTGTCTCCAGTAAAATATTTGAAAAGAACTAACATGTCTTGATCTATTCAGATTTACATTACTATAACAATTACATGTACACAATTCTTATTGTATTTATTTCCACACCAAAAACAAATATTCAAAGGGTTCTTAAAATTCAAAATTAAAACTACAGTATTTTGACTAACCTGATTACAAACAAATGTCTAAAAACTACAAATGAACATATATGCTTTATAGCAACCCCCTTCTGTCTCTCTTACTTTATTCCAAAATCTTTAAAATGCATTTAATACTAATCAATGATTAAAATATCAAAAAGCAAATAAAAAGAAAAATCATGCCCACAAGAAAAAAAAATGATAATTTATTTACAAAGTGCAATATACCAATACAGTGTGTCCACATTGAAAAAATATGGCTTCTCAAGTTTTAAAATTCCCTTGGCTCCCTATGTGTATAGTTTTAAATTTAATCGCATTGCATAACATAATAAGCCTGTGTAATAAAGCTTAGACCCTTAGTATAACATAGGTCTAATAATAATTAAAAACCAATATCTATCAACATTATATCACATTAAAATCATATTAAGAGAGAGCAATTAAAATTATAATCTTCATTTCTGTAGCCAGTCATGAGGTCATAGCTGGCATTTAGAACTACCTTCCTCTACTACCCATTCTGTGTTTCCTTGGCCTTCAGTAAGCACCTCAGCAGGTCTTGGTTCTTTACCTGATGGGGTGACCCATACCTTCATTCCTGAAGGTTCTGGACCATTTGTCATTCTGCCTGGATTGGGTTGTTGTAGTTTCCCATTAACTTTAATAACAGGTCATAGTAAAACTAGAAGGCTCCCCTATGGATCTCCTGCACTCTATGTATATTTCTCCTTTCCTCCATTGTGAAGAAGTAGTCCTATTTCCCCTTGATAGTCTGGGTTGATCACCCCTGCCAACACTGTAACTCCCTTATTAGCTTATTCCCTCGGAAGCATGAGGAGACCAAAATGACCAAGGGGAAGTCCTAGCTTCCAATTTAGTGGTATCATTATTGTACTTCCTGGTACAAGCCTTCCCCTCTCCTGAACTAGGATTTCTAAGCCAGGAGAGCAAAAAGTTTTGGGAACAGGAAGCAAAAACTTTGCTAGTGGATCATTAGGGATAATAATGAATGGTACCATTCCCACTTCCACCCCTTGTTTCCTGGACCTGTGAATCCTGACTATGGGAGACACAGTACAGTACAGTGGGCACTGATTCAGAGTATATACAGCCCTCTGAAGAACCTTGCCCCACCCCTGCAAGCTACTGTCACCTAATTGGTGCTGTAACTGTGTCTTCACCTTTCTATCAGTCCAGCCACTTCTGGTTGGTGAGGGATATGGTAAGATCAGTGAATTCCATAAGCATGAGTGCATTGCCTCACTTCTTTGTCCATAAAATGTGTTCTTTGGTCAGAGGCAATACTATATGAAATTCTGTGATGTTGGGTAAGGCATTCTGTGAGTCCACGGATGGTAGTTTTGGCAAAAGCATTGTGCACAGGAAATTCAAATCCATATCTGTATAGAATAAGTGTCTGTGTCAGTAAGGACAAAGCATTGTCCTATCCATGATGGAAGTGGTCCGATATAATCCATCTGCCACCAGATTGCATGCTGCTCACCCTGAGGAATGATACCATATCTGGGGCTCAGTGTTTATCTCTGTTGCTGGCATATTGGGCATTCAGCAGTGGCTGTGGCTAGATCAGCCTTGGCGAGTGGAAGTCCATGTTGAGCCCATGCATAACCTCCAGCCATCCCACCATGACCACTCTGTTCATAAGCCCACTGGGCAATGACAAGGGTTGCTAAGGAGGTTGATCACTGTCTGCAGAACTGGTCATTTTATCCACTTGATTGTTAAAGTCTTCTGTTGAGGTCACTTTCTGTGTTTATATGGAATACAAATATTTTCACATCCTTTGCCCATATGGAGAGGTCTATCCACATACCTCTTCCCCAGATATCCTTGTCACCAATTTTCCAGTCATGTTCTTTCCAAGTTCTTGACCATCTCACTAGACAATTGGCTACAGCTCATGAATCACTATATAGTCTCACATCTGGCCATTTGTCCTTCTAGGCAAAATGTACCACCATGTGCACTGGCTGAAGTTCCACCCACTGTGATTTTCCTTTACTACTGTCCTGGAAAGGGGCTATAATGCTGCAGCTGTCAACTTGCAGACGGTACCAGCATTGTGTGCAGAACTATCCATAAGTCAGAACCTAGCCTTCTCTGCCTCTTACAATTCATCATATGTTACATCCCATGAGACCATAGTTGCATGCTGGGAAACAGAAGGCAATATAGTGGGAGAAGGAGCCATGGGCACATGGGCTATTTCTTCATGTAACTTGCTTGTACCCTCTGGACCTGCTCTGGGGCATCACATGTATACCATTTCCATTTAACAATAGACTATTGCTGTGCACATCCAAACTTATGACTCAGTGGATCAGATAATACCCAGCTCATGATAGGCAGCTCAGGTTGCATGGTAAACTGGTGTCCCATGGTCAAGCATTCAGTTTCCACTAAGGCCCAGTAACAGGCCATGAGCTGTTTTCCAAGTGGAAAGAAGCTGTCTGCAGATGATAACAGAACCTTACTCCAAAATTCTGGAGGCCCCCACTGCAATCCACTGCTGGAGGCCTGCAAGAGACTCCATCTCTACTTGCCACTGATACTTGAAGTCTGTGATGGCTTGTGTTTAGATGCCCCCACAAAGGCTCATGTGGTCATAGGTGGGGTTTTTTCAGAGGTGGCTAGATCTAGAGTGTGTGATGCTGGAATTGATATGGTGCAATGCTAGGATCAAAGGCACTTGAATTAAGAGTGTGAGTGCTACCCACCCTAAGTAGCCTGGATAAGTGATAGAAAGAGCTGTGGTTGCCTCTTGCTTGATTTGCTATCTTCTGCCCACCACGAACTGTTTCTCCTCTGCAATGCCTGTCAGCCATGCCACCTGCCTTGGAGCCAGCCAATTATGGACTGAAACCTCTACAAACCATGAGCTAAATAAAACTTCCCCCTTTAACTTTGAGTGTCAGGTATTTTGTCTCAACAATGAGAGAGAAGTAACCAAGAATTTGGTACCAAGAGTGGGGTCACTTCTGTGACTATATCTGACCATGTGGTTCAAAAGCCTTTGGGACTGGCTTGTGGGAAGAGTTTGGAGAGGTTCAGAGATGCTGACTGAAAAAGTAGAGCTGGAATACCTTAGGCTGTATTTGATGGGAGATTCTGATTAGTGCTCAGAAGATCAGAATGCTGATAGAAATCCTGCCAGTAAAGACCAGGCTCAGGAAGGACTGGAAAGAAGTCCAGGAACCAGATAGAAACTGAACACTTGACCATGGGGCACCAGGTTACCGTGCAACCTGAAGACTGGTGGGATGAAGAACTGCATTAGCTGTTGGACTCCACATGATATGTATTATACCTTGGCGAAGTTTGTCTGCATTTTGCTTGTGTCTGGAGACTTTGCCTGAGACTAAGATTAAGGGCAGCACACTAATTAACCTTGCAGAGGAATTTCAAGGTAGTTTAATGAGAAAGTGGTGGCATGTCTATTCTTGAGGGCTTTTAGTCAGATTTATGTGAAGAATAAAGAGCAAAGAGCCCAGCAGAATGATTCAAAACATTGTGATATTGGCCAGAAAGGAAGTTGCAGTAAGGTTGTGGACCACAAAGATGGAACAGAGGAGAAATTGGTCATTGAAAAGACTAGCAAGAAAAAGCCAAGTATTTCAGAAAGAGACAACAGAAAACATGCCCTGCGATCATCACAAGAATCAGCAGGACCCCAGCCTTTGCAGTCTCAGAGTTGCAAAAGTGAAAGACTTTGAGAAGAGAGCCCCAGAGCACCATGTTCTCGGTGGTGGTCACCTAAGGAAGTTGGCCCTTGGGATTTGGTTCATAGGCACTGAACCCTTATGGCCAAGGGAGAAGGAAGCCTGGCTACTGCTCCAGTCAGCATTAGACTTTGATATCATCCACGTTGGTGCTGGTTTTAGGTGCATGCAGAATGCAAGAGTTGTGAGGTCAGGAAGGCTTCCATCCAGATCTCAGAAGAAGGTCTGGGCGGCCAGGCTGTGTGCCCCTGAGAGGGCACAATGTGAAGTTGTGAGTGTGAAGCCAAACATGCCATGGAGACACCAGAAGTTTGGAGAAGCCAGGAAAGTGGATCCTCTGAGGAAAACTGCAAGGCGGGAGCAGAGCCAGCCCAAGAAAGAAGTCATGGGAGCTACAACTACTGAAAGTGCCATAGAGGCAGAGCCACCCAAGCCCTTTGGAGTTCACAACTTGCCACAGATTGCTGGGGATTCTTGAAGTGGAACTGTGGGATTTAATGTTTGTCCTGCTGGATTTTGATTTTACTTTTACCCATTTCTTGCTATTTCCGTGTTTGTAACATTAGGAATGGAAATGTCTATCTTGTGCCATTGAATGTCGGAAGTGTTTAACTTTCTTTTCATTTGTACAGGGGCTTGCAGCTAAGTTTGTCTTATATCTCAGAGGAGACTGGACTTGGACTTTTCAGCAATGCTGAAAGTGTCAGGACTTAGGCAATTTGTGGAGATGGACTAAATGCCTTTTGCATAAAGGGGTATGCATGAGTCTTTGGGAGGCAGAGGCAGAATGTAGTGGCTTGTGTCTGGATGTCCCCCTAAAGCCTCATCCAGTCATAGATGGGGCTTTTTAAGAGGTGGCTGGATCTAGAGTGTGTGACTCTGGAATTAATATGGTGCAATGCTAAGATCAAGGGCACTAGGATTAAGGGTGTGAATGCCACCTGCCTTAAATAAGCCTGGATAAGATCTAAGGGATTAAAAAGTGCTGTGGTCAGCTCTTGCTTGCTTTGCTGTCTTCTGCCTGCTATGAACTGTTTCTCCTCTGCAATGCCTGTCATACCACCCTGCCTTGGAGCCAGCTAATTACAGACTGAAACCTCTAGAAACTGTGAGCTAAATAATCCTTCCCCCCTTTAACTTTGGGTGTCAGGTATTCTGTCTCAGCAAGGAGAGAGAAGTAACTAAGACAAAGTACCATTGGATCTGCTGGATCATATGACCCTAGTGGCAGAGCATCTTGCACAGCAGCCTGGACCTTTTGCAAAGCCTTTTCCTATTCTGGGTCTACTCAAAACTAGCAGCTTTCCATGTCACTCCAAAATCCAAATAGGTCCATTAG